TTATTTTAAAATCTTCCAAAAAATGGAATATTTAGATATAATATGTAATATTTAACAATAAAATCGAGATAATTAAGTGATTGCGATTATATAAAATTATAGGAAAAAAATGGCTGGCTACACCAACTATAGAAAAATGCATGGTCACACATGCCAAGTATCATATTGTACACTCAGCTACACGAACTAAATGCATTGCATGGCCACATGCATCAACTATACAACGTCATATAGTCAACACCATAGACATAAAATTCTGGTACACCGGTCAACTGATTCTTACAGCCTATATAAATCATTCCTACCCCTCTTCAAGATTAAATCTCAAACCAAATATTTTAAAATATTAACTACCCCTATTCTTACAGCCTATATAAATCATTCCATGTTTTCTTAGAGGGGTGTATTCAAAATGAAATTTTAAGAGATTTGAGTTTTAGGGGGTGTTATTCAACCTTGTATTTTAATTGATTTGGATGTATTTCAAAATATAGCGTTATTTAATGATGTATTTTAAAAACCACAATAAAATCTGTTGTTATTGGATTTAACATTTGTTGGATGTATTTTAAAGTACTTTAAAACAAGCGTTATTCAATTTTCAATGGATTTTGTTTCATTTAAGATTTTAATGTATTTTACATCTAAAACACGTACAAACACAATCTTAACAATTTTCAAAGTATTTCATCTCTTTCAGACCAAATCCATCTTAGGGGGTGTTATTGGATGGAGAATTTTAAGGGATTTTAATTACGGGTGGATTTTAAAGTTCAATAGCCTTTAAATACAATTAAGATGGATTTGATATGAAAGAGATGAAATCCTTTGAAAAATGTTAGGATTGTGTTTGTACGTGTTTTAGATGTAAAATACATTAAAATCTTAAAGAAAACAAAATCCATTGAAAATTGAATAACGCTTGTTTTAAAATACTTTAAAATACATCCAACAAATGTTAAATCCAATAACAGCAGATTTTATTGTAGTTTTTAAAATACATCGTTAAATAACGCTAGATTTTGAAATACATCCAAATCAATTAAAATACAAGGTTGAATAACACCCCCTTAATTGTATTTAAAGGCTATTGAACTTTAAAATCCACCGGTAATTAAAATCCCTTAAAATTCTCCATCCAATAACACCCCCTTATTGAGTTTTTAAATGATTTTGATGATTTTAAGGAAGTTCATATGACTTTTGTAAAATCCTTTCAAATCTCACCAAAAACCATGGGATTTGGATTTCTGTATTATTAACTAAAGAAATCCTCCCAAATCCTCTGAAATCCTTCAAAATCATTAAAAGCCAAATCCACAAATTGTTTTCAATAACAGTGGATTTTAAGGTGGATTTTGAAATCATTAGTTGAATAACAGTGGATTTCATGAGACTTTTTAAAATTCATGTTTGAATAACAGTGGATTTATAAGTTCTACTCAAATCTCTTAAAATTCTACTTTGAATTCACCCCCTTAGTTTACATTCATTCCAAAAGCGAGAAAAACATATATCTCATAAAACAAAGCATGAACTAATACAAAATCTTCACACCACATGTTTTCATATCGTTTTTAATCAATGTTTACTTATGATACTTTACTTTTTCTGTTTAGTTTTTTTTAAACAACTAACTGTGATCTACTTTTTGATGTAGTAACTTGAGATTTTGAGGTCTTTGGAAAACTACGAAGATCAAAAACATCCTCCCCAATTAAAAAAAAACATGGTATGCATTCAAAGGTTATTTAGTCATATATGTGATTTTTAAAATAAAATTAATGGTGAATATTCCTTTTAAAGTTTTTTCCTCTAAATTACATGGTATATATATATATATGTGTGTATATTTCTTATATAATGTATTTAATGTTTACTTTTTATGTATGTTATGGTTTAACAAATTTTATATCTAAGTTGTTAAATTATTTATTTTAGGATCCAAGCAAAAACTAATTATTTATCATATTTTAATTATATATTTACAGTAAAAATGATTAACAAATATTTTCAATATTTTTATTTTATCTAAAAGAAATAAAACTAAAGAATATGATCAAATATGAACCTAACGGGTGCTTTAAAACTATATACAATTACTTATATTAAAACCAAACCTAATATACACACGTTATTTACTTTTCCGAGTAAACATATACAAATCAATATGCCGATTTAGCCTTTATAGAATTAAAATTAAAATATATAAGTAAACACGCTATTCTGTGTATCTAATACTATTCAATACCAAATATTAATAAAAAAATCGATTAATAGATTTTATTTAAGTCATTATTTAAAAACCCGTCATCCGTGCGAATAATATACTTTATTCTGTTTATCATATAGTACAAATCAATACCATTAAACACCAAATATTTATACAATACAGTCAATATTTTAGTTATTTGTTCCAAAAAGTATTTCAACCCGTGCGGAAGCACGGGTTATCCTCTAGTATAAATTTTAAAACAAATAAGATCATATAATGATATTGGAGAGATATTTTAGGAAATGTAATAAATAACAATTTTGTGTGTATATTGTGATTTAATTACAAATTATATCTTAAAGTTTTGTTATTTATTCAAATGGAAAGAGTTTATTATGAAAATATTACAAAATAAAAGATTATAACACCAAATGTACTTCAAAAAGGTTAATATAGATTTAGATTTGATCTTTTCACTCGAATTTAATTTATAACGTGAATAATCCAACTAAAATCTACATAAAATTTTAAAATATTCATATTTCAACGTTTATTTTTGTTTGGTATAAATTTTATATACTTTTTTAAATGTAGAAAGATTCATTCAAAGTTGAAAAACCCTAATCCTTGTTATAAACCAAATGGTGGATTGTCATAACAATCTCAGTCCAGTCGGCCCATGATCAAGCCTGGTCCGGCCAATACATAGGAGGTTTAACCTTTTCCTTATTGTATTAGGTTTACTTTTCTCTCTTTGTATTCATCTTTATATACAGGACTCATTACTCATGAATAAAGACACACTTGAATTCTCTTTATTTTATAACACGTTATCAGCACGATAGTTCTAAGAACCCTAAAAGCTAAAAGCTAAAGACGTCCCCAACCCTAAACCTAAAATCACCACCGATCATGAATCACCACCACCGACGGTTCCGGACGAACAAAGCTTGACGTCTTGCTGCTCAACTCACGGAGGTTCACGGCAGTTCTAAGGTCTTCTTGCTCATAGTCCATTCAACCCTTTCAGGAAATCAAGGTAAGTAAACTAAAACCCTGAAATCATTATTTCTTGATTATAATCATAAAAACCTGAAACCTTGAAACTTGAAATTGTTTGAATGACTACTTTCATATGAAATCCTAAAACCCTAAAACCCAATAACCCTAAAACCTTTAAATCTGAAATTGTTTAGGGCTTAATTATTTTCATATGAAACCCGGTACCCTATAACTTTAAAACCTGAAATCGTTTATTGTTTGTTATTTTTCATATGAAACCCTGTAACCCTAAAACCTTAAAACCTTGAAATCGATTATTGGTTGATTTTCATATGCATCATTGCTTGCTTGATTAATATGAATTCATATCTATTTTATGAAACTCTAATTTTATGTTTAACATGAAAATTGAATATGTATATGTTTAATATGCTTAATCAAAAATCGAATATGAATATGAATGCATGATAGTTAATTAATATGAATGCATTAGCATATATGAACACCTAGATACGCATGATAGTTTTGAATCTTGATCATAGAGAAATCGCATGCTAGGATGCTTGCTTAGAACTTGTAAGATAGTTAAAATTGAATATGAACTTGCTTTGCATGAATATTAGAATTTTATGAAACCTAAAGAATAACCAAATGTCTTTCAGACGTCGAAACTCAATAACTTGGATTTTGCTGCCCTTAATCTTTTGGGAGATAATTATTTACAATAGGCGTTAGATATTAAGATTATCCAAAAATTTCAAGGGTTCAGTGAATGTATTGTGAATGAGAATGACGAGCCCGAAAAGAATAAATATAAGGCAATATTAATTATTCACCATCATCTTGCTGAGAGTCTCAAAGAATAATATTTGACAGTTGAGAATCTTTTGGACCTTTGGAATGAATTGAAAACAAGATATGATCACCAAAAGACGGTGCTATTACCAAAGGCTATGTATGATTGGAGGAATCTCAGAATCCAGAACTTCAAGTCCGTGGATGAGTATAATTCAGCCATGTTTAAGATAGTTTCTAAGTTGAAACTGTGTGGTGAGGATATAACCGAAAAAGATATGTTTGATAAGACCTTTTCAACCTTCCACACAAGTAACGTATTATTGCAACTTAGAAACTATCTTAAACATGGCTGAATTATACTCATCCACGGACTTGAAGTCTTGGATTCAGAGATTCTTTGGTAATGCACCTTCCTTTGGTGATCAATACTCGTTTTCAATTCATTCCAAAGGTCCAAAAGATTCTCAATTGTCAAGTACTACTAATCTTTAAGACTGTCACCAAGATGATGTCGAATAATTAATATTGCCTTATATTTATTTTTTTCGGGCTCGTCATTCTCATTTACAATACATTCACCGAACCCTTAAAATTTTAGGATAATCTTAGTATCCAACACCTTATAAATAATTATCTCCCGAAGATTAAGGGTAGCAAAAACCAAATTATTGTATTTTAACATATGAAAAGCATGCTTATTTTTTTAGTTTTCATAAAAGTTTTGGTATAAATTTTATATATTTTTAAAAAAATAGAAAGATTCATTCAAAGTTTGAAAAACATCCCTAATCACAAACTTGTACGGCACATGTTAAAAATGACTTATCCCTAATTAATTATCAGATTTTTATCAACATGAATATAATAATACCGACATAAAAATATAAAATAAGATGCGTCAAATTAGGGGAAAAAACAAGAATCAAAATTAATTGAGATCTGAAAAAAAAAAAAAAAAAAAAGAATCTTTATTGTGTTGTTGAAGAAGAAGAAAGAAGAAGAAGAGAAAATTTTCAAAAAAAGTTCAAAGAAAATGGGAGCTGCGAAGAATAATAATAATATCTGGGCATTAGCCAACGCCGCCGATGGAGCTAACGGCAACGACGACGCCGCCGCCGCCGCCGAACAGATTCCATATTCTTCATCCGTCGTCGATACGTCTTTACCTCTCCCTCTCATGATTCCTCGTATCATGTTCGTTTCCTCTTTTCCCCAATTCCTCTTATTCGTGTTTCGTTTTGTTTGATTTGGATTTGTTTAGCTTCGGAGATTGATTTTGTTTTTTTTTTTCTTCCTTCAAATTGGGATTTGAGGAAGACGTCTCTGTGATTTAGAATTAGAAATTTGGCTTTATTTGCAATTTTCTTTACACTTGGATTTGTTTCTATGGAGATGATGTGGTTGTTGTAAAGCGCTTTGGTGATGACATAGTGAAAGTGACGAGATTAAAATAACATATAAAGCAACAAAAAAAAAGAAAGAATAAAAGTGATTAGACTGCTTTGATTCGTTTTCATGGTGGATTAGTCAGATATGAATGTGGCATGAGTCTTGTTTCTGTAGAAAAAGAGAGATAAAAGCTTCTTTTTTTTTGGTTCTAATGGCTACTTTCTTTAACAGAGAGTTATGTAAAGATCTGTTCAAGAATTGGAGAGATCTTGATGATTCAGTCTTCTCTGTTGAGAGAGTATCAGGAGGCATCACAAATCTATGTAATGTCCTTTTCGATTTTACGGTGATTACATGTCAATGTTCATTGTTGGGTTTTTAATTGTTTCATGGAAATTTGTGTTGGAATGGAACTCGGCTTTAGTTTTGTAAAATTTGTGACTTCTTTTTAATGATGGCAGTGCTCAAGGTTTCTGTGAAGGAAGATACTGATAGAGAAGTATCTGTAACAGTGCGACTATATGGGCCTAATACAGAGTATGTTATTAACCGGGAGAGAGAGATACTGGTAATTTCCCTTGTTCAGATTATGTCATAAGTCCCTTCCCTTTTGTGTTCTGATCCGTGTTTTTGATGTCTTAGTTTGCGTTAGCAAGAATTTCTATGTTATTTGAATTATTTTTCTTCTAGTGATGTCAACTTGTAGCATGAGCCTTATATTGGAACATGGCAGAGTTTTTTGCTCGATTTTTCTTGAAATATCAAAGATTTTTGTGCTTGTGTTTCTTGTAATTCTTGTGCATCATTTGAATTTTTTATCATTTGTCTTTTTCGTTATCTGCTCCTCTCGTCGTCAATAGGCTATCAAGTATCTCTCAGCTGCCGGATTTGGTGCCAAGTTGCTTGGTGGATTTGGAAATGGCATGGTGCAATCATTCATCAATGCAAGAACCTTAGAGCCATCAGGTAGGCATTCAAAATTCTTGTAGCAGGATGTGTGGAGACTGTCTCTAGAAAAATAAATTATTTCTTGTTCTTCAGTGGATAACCTGCAAAATGTCGTGTGATTAATAAAATAAAAACAAATGGTTGACCTGCAATCCGTGGTGCATTTGATCTGGAGCCTGTAGAATACTTATATACTATGAAACTGAACTGAAGGGAAGGTTTTCTATTAACATGAGTAGAACATGTGAACTTTCCACTTTTATGCTTCATAGTTACAGGTATAAAAGTGGAAAAGCTTCTCAAATGACTCTTACTTCTCTTTTGTTGTGGGCAGACATGAGACAGCCAAAGGTTGCTGCTGAAATTGCCAAAGAGCTTGGGAGGTTTCATAAAGTGGAAATACCAGGTTCCAAGGAACCTCAGCTGTGGTTTGATATCTTGAAGTTCTTTGAGAAAGGTGTTTATGTTTAATTTGTGCTGGTTACTGTTGCATTTTTTTTCCATTGATGAAGCGTTGGCTATATATTATGCGGTTTTTTCATGTCTGCCCTGTACCTTTACTTGCAGCATCTACTCTTAGATTTGAGGATCCTGACAAGCAGAAGCTCTTTGAGACCATTTCGTTTGAAGAACTGCGTAAAGAGATTATTGAGCTAAGGGTATTCCTTTTCCTCAGTAAAGATTTTTGTATCTCTGTGATGTGATGTGTTCTTGATGTCTTATGATACTCCATTCTGCTGTTTGAAAATTCTACTTGTCAAGTTCTTCCTGGGTGAGAATATAGTTTAGCAAATACACCAGACCATTAAAATGAATAGTAAATCTTTCATGTTGGATTTTTTGTAGTCGTTTTTGCACAAATAACAATTTTGAAGTCTAAAATATAGCCATCCTTGAATGATATCGAAGACTTGGTCATTGTGCTGTAACTCATTCAAAAATCTACCAATGCTTCTTTCTGTAATGTGCTGTAACTTGTACAGTTGTGTTTGTGATTGGTTGTGCATGCTAACACTTTATTCCTTGCTTTGGTTTGATAGTATTTGCTTGATTCTGATGATTGATCAGGAATTCACAGGCTTACTTAACTCACCTGTGGTGTTTGCTCATAATGATTTACTATCTGGAAACCTGATGCTGAATGAGGAAGAAGGTGAGAAAATACCTTCGCCGCTGTACTTCTTTTTCGACCGAAAACACAGAAATAGGCGCTAAAAAATTATGTCACTTGGTTATGTGCATAATCGCATCTTAGTTAAACGATTGATCTTAATGGTGATGGAAGTATACAAAGATCGCGGTACCAACTTTAAGAGTTGGATAACTATGGTCTTTTATATTGGCTTAGTTGTCTTCTTCTAATATCCTAAGTTGTGATGTTATGTAGTCTCTAACTTGATTCTCTTTATATCCATATTTAGAGAAACTTTACTTGATTGATTTTGAGTATGGATCATACAACTATCGAGGCTTCGATATCGGGAATCACTTCAATGAATACGCAGGATACGACTGTGATTACACCTTGTATGTGCAACTTCCTTGACTCCTTCTGTTATTTCTAAAAATCTCCTCAAGAAATCGAAATATAACTGCTTGTTGTGGTTTCTTTGTAGGTACCCAAGTAAAGAAGAGCAGTATCATTTCATCAAGCATTACTTACAGCCAGACAAACCAAATGAGGTAAGAACATATCAGGCGAATTGAATCAATACAATTGTTTTTAATGGAGATAGTAATCTGTTGCCAATTGCAAAGCTAAAGAATATACATGTCTTGTGTAAACAGGTCAGTATCGCTGAAGTAGAATCAGTCTTCGTAGAGACAGATGCGTATAAATTAGCATCTCATTTGTACTGGGCAATATGGGCGATCATCCAGGTGCGCTTTTTTGACCATCTTAGTATATTGCTTAATGTTAATAACATTGTATTAAGCTAATGTAAGTGGTGTACAAATTTGGTGGAACAGGCAAGGATGTCTCCCATTGAGTTTGAATATTTGGGTTACTTCTTTTTGCGATACAATGAATACAAGAAGCAGAAGCCACTTACCTTTTCACTTGTTAAATCTCACATGTCTGCATCATCTGTCTAGCCTTTTGACCAAAATGGTTAAATCTTTATTATATATTTTTGGTCGTGTTGTCATCAATTCTTGTAAAATTTGTTTGTGTTGTTAGTAAACCTTGTATGATTTGTATGAATGAACTTAATTTGTTGAAGTAGTGGCCCTTTATATCTCCAAGCACCGGCAAGAATGTAGTTGCTAAGAAGAGCATGCTAAAGAAACTTTACTAACTGATCCAGCAAAAATACAATTAGTCCAAATTGTAATTGTTTAATTAATAAGTTAAGGAAAACTAAAACATTATTTAACTTCCACTAACTGGTTTTCTAAGTAATCAACCTGAGAGACCAATTCTTGTGGCTGGATCAACAATTTCTCTGTTCTAAGGGATTCACCATACGCTGCAATGAGCAGTGCTTCAGCTCGACCATGATCCTTTTTCCTCTTAAGTTGCGAACTAAGCGATGGAAACAACTCCGTTGCAACTCGTCTGCTATCATCCTGTAACAAAATATAAGACTTTCATCAGCGTTTGAGAGATTTGTTTTGTTTTTAACTCACAAAAGTTTTGATAGTAAAAGATCAAAACCACCTTCGTGCAACTCCCACTAGCAAGTTGGAAATGCCTCTTCCATAAAGATGCAGAAACTGGAATGACACAAAAGCCTGAAGCAACAAGTGTTCCTATCCATAACCCATACCCAAATCCTCCACTATACCAACCCTAAGACACAAACACAAACATTTCAGTTTTAACCAAAAAACACACACACCAAAACTAAATGTTTGTTGTAGCATTAACCTGTTTACCATCTTTGGGAAACGGATTCGATTGTTCTATATATACTCTGCTTCCTACATTACCAAACACAAAAGATGTAAAACTTCTTCTAAATCTCACTCAAAGAGCACAAAATCAACAAAGTGATAAGTTCAAAATATATATGCTTACCAGAAGGAACATCTAAACTCTGAATCAATTGCACAATTGACTTTGCATCCAAGCGTTTTCTTACTCTTTTCCCAACTAAAACTGGGATGTGTGGAGTATCAAAAACCTACTCCAGAGTCAACAAACACAACCAACTTCAGTTAACAAACTCTGAGTCTATCAAAGGTTCAGAAGATTTCCCACAAATTAAACTGTTCTGTAATAACTCAATCAACTCTGGTAATGATTCTATTCAATATAATTCACAGAACCTTGTAAAGATATACACTTTTGTAACCCTAGTCAACTGAAAAGATAAAACCCTAAAAGCTAACAATCTCTTCATTCTAGTGACTGACCTGAGCAGAAGAAGAAGAACCCAAGTGGTCAAATTTCAAAAGAGCCAACGCACCAGACAAGTCAGGGTCAATCCCAATGACGCAGCTTGACTCAGCATTGTCTTGAGTCATGTCTTCTTCTTGTGAGGTGAGAGAGAGAGAATCCAACCATTTCTCCTTCATTAACGCCGCGTCGATAGCTTTCGTCGTCGGAACAGCGCTAAACGCGAGACTCCGCCGGCGAGTGAACGGAGCTGTGACATTCGAGGCCGAGTGAGAGAGGAAAGGTCTGAGCTTTGAGAAGAGACTACGCATATGTGGCAGCGACGGTTGGCCGTACACTGTCGCCATTACAAGAAGCCCCAAATTAGAACATACCTCACTCCTATTTGATTTTTGTATCAGGATATTACTTTTTTTTTTCTTTTCTTTGTGTATCAGCTGGAGTTTTTACTTTTTATTAAGGTGAATTAGGTGAATATTCATTTTCAATTTCAAAATAAAGAATATAGCATATTGTTTGAAAAAAATAGAAAATTAAGATAAAGGGTTGATAAAATTACTTTTTTGGTGTTGTGAGGGTGATAAGGGTGGGTAGTGGTCGGAGGCGGTGGCCGATGGCCGAAGGTGGCAGTGGACGCGACTAGAGGTGGTCGTGGCTAGCGGCCGGAGGTGGCGGTGGTTGATGGTCGGCGGACGGACGTGGCGGTGGCCGGAGGTGACGGTGGCCGGAGAGATGATGACGGTTTATGGAGGAGGTGGTGGTGGTGGTAAGGAGGTAGGGAGTGGTGGTGTAAGTGTTAAAGAAGTATGGGGTGGTGATGATATGGTTAAAATAGTATATATTATAGTTTATACATAGTATATCACCTTTTAGTGGTTAGAGTAAGTGAATGAAATATAGATCTAAGCCGAAGACAACATTGACCAATTCAGAGACCTAAGATCATCTGCACTTTCAACAGCTGTAAGTTCATAATTTCTGGAAAAAACTGTTAAAAGACCTAAAGAAACACCAACCAAAAAGGATCCAATCGACAAGCTTCCACCACTATCCTATTAACTAAAATTCTAACAAATCTAAAGCTTTAGCAGAGAATTCAGCCGTAACTACTAAAAAGTTCAACCAAAGTCATCGAAAGCCACATCAATTCACTATTGAAATCCAATCTTAAAAGAATAAAATTAGTAAGTGATAAGAACAAAATCAGCTTCTTAAACAAGGGAGGATCAAATAATTATGCCGCTTGATCTAAAAAAAAGACTCAAAAGCAATATAATTCAAAGAACACCAAAATTAATAAGAAACGAAAGAAGAAAAACAAAACCGGAAAAACAGACGACAAATAGCTAGGCCGGAGTTGGCCATAATCACTGAAAAAACTAACATTTGTCCGAGAGTCATCGGCCCATGATCCTTACGAAGCCAACCAACACCGAAAGATAGCCAGTTGATGATGCTTGCATAGCCACCAACGCCGGAGGATAGCCAGCCGATGATGGTTGCTAAAGAACTCGTGGGTTGTTTTGGAGTAGAACCTATTCACTAAGTTGAGCAAGTGCAGTTTTTGGCAGCAAGATACCGAATTTATAGGTTAGATTATCTTGACAGATGGGGTTTTAGTGGATCTAGAGAAGATTTAGTCTATCAGAGAATGGCTGAGGACAAAAAATGCTATCGAGGTCATGAGTTTTATCCAGGTTAGAGCTAGCTATGAAGAAGCTCACAAGGAATGATTTTCCTTTTGTGGTCTCTTGTGAGTGAAGAGAGCCAATCTCGTGTTTATTGATGCAGTAGGGTAAGGTGGTTGCCTATGTTTCAAGGTAGTTAAGGAAGCGTGATGACAACTATCCTACTCATGAGTTAGAGATGGCTGCATTTGTTTTCGCTTTAAATATTTTGAGATCTTATCTTTTTGGTGAGAAGGGTCAGGTGCATACAAATCATCATAGCCTACGTGAAGTACATATTAACGCAGCTTAAGTTGAATATATGGTAGAGCGTGGGATAGAGTTAGTAGCTAACTATGATCTGGAGATAGCTTACCATCCTAGTAAAGCTAACTCGTGACACACGCTCAGAGCATGAAACGGTCGGCTTCAGCTCAAGAATGGGATATGGAGTCTCTGATTGGCAAGTTTAGTACGTTACGGTTGTGTGCTATTCTCATGAACCGTTGGGTTTGGAGGTTGCTAATCATGAAAATCTTCTAAGTAAACTCCAGTTGATTCTATAGAAGGATAAGGGGCTGGTTAATGCTTCCAAGGATACCATCTTTGAGTATCATGTCTCTGCTAATTCTTGTTCTCTCTTAAGAAACTAGAACAGATAAATGAAAGAGAAAGAGTTCCGGGGGAGATGATGATACTAAGGTTTTTAGCCTTTGCACTTCAATCTCCCTAGTGCATTGTAGTATAAAGGGTTTATCAATCCAAATGGGTGTGATGTAGACAATCAAGATTACAACCGAAACTAACAAGTTAAGCCAAGAAAAATTAAGGTTTTAAACTATCAAACATCACAATATTAAACTAATTCAAGTGAAAAAATTGAAACTAAACAGAAAGAAACTACAAAAGCTAAACTAAGCATGCAAGAACTAAGCATAATAGAAATGAAACTAGCAAACAATCAAAAGAGTAAAACTCTTAAGGATGGGGTAATTGATTTAACTGGAGTCTCTTAATCTTATTTAGAATTCCTAATAAACTCAATCAAGCTATTCCCTAGACAGTGAAATTATGAACCTAGTCAATCCAACCTCTTGGCATAAACTATCAAGTCTAAAGCACATCCTAATCTCAAATCTCTTTGATGAAACATGCAATAAACAAGCATTAAGAATAAATTCACTATTATCAATAAATACCTTAGACGACCAATATCTTGGGTTAAGCATGTAAATCTCTGGCACTAGCTGGTTCAGACAATTCATCACACCTTTGGGGCATGAAATGTCTTTTACCTAGTTCCAATTGATCAGAGAAGAACGAACTAATAATACTCTAATCCAGAAGATAAATTAAGAGATTCTACACTTAGGCCTCCTAATAGACTACGATTCTTCACCTAATATATCACATCATCAAGAAACGTAAAACTATTCAAACCCAAAAAACATGATCAAGAACGCAAACCCAGAAAACATTAAAACAAGCATAATCATAGAGATCATGATCTAAGTAGCAGTATTGAACAAAGAAGCAAGTGAAAATTCCAAATAGATCAAAAGATATTAATATTATAAGTTTCTGGAAAGTTGGTGGTTAAGAGAGAAAAACCGTAGAACAAAAGCGATATTTTTTTTACAAAAGAAAAAAAAATGGGCTATTTATAAGAAGAGAGGGAAGCCCTACTTCAATAGTAGAAAAAATATAAAGTTGGTCATAAGTACTCGATCGAGAGCTCCATCAAATGCTCGGTCGAGTGGTTGGTCGTGTGCATTGGTTGAGCTCAAGTCTTCATTCCTTCCACTCGACCGGGTGCTCGATCAGGTGTATATACGTCCAGTAAAACATCGATAACTCTTGAACCGCAACTCCAATTGGCTTGAAATCACCACCATTGGAAAGTTTAATCAATTACCGACAACTTTGATGAAGTACTCCCCTCTGAAGCTAAATCTCAAGGAAAGATCTTCATTCGGGTTGATCTTTGATAGTCTTGTTATGCACATGACCGAATAGTAGGTCGAGTGGTATAGTCGAGTGCTTCCATTTTCCTTTTTCATGCTCCATTTCCTCTTGTATTAGCCTCAGGAATAACATCAGCTCCTTCCTTACCATTAAAAAAATTCTAAAGCACCTAATAATTCTCCAAATGCATAAAATCATGCGAATGCAAAACAACTTAAGGATGCAAAGCACAAAATAAAGACTCTAAAACCTATAGACCATGTTTTAAACTATGAAAACGAAGGACTAAATGCATGCTAAAAAGAGGTAAAATACAGAGAAATCTGATGAGCATATACGGTGTTTTTGAGAAACCTCGGAGAATATTTAGGTTTTGAACTTGGACATGAAGGAAACTCAAGATGTGCATAAGAGTTAGGTTGATAAGAGGCGAAAAGGGCTTAAGTTTGATGTTGGAGATAGAGTGTATCTCAAGATGGAGAAGCTGCATTATCTTAACAGGTACTATGTTGAGTCTGATGTATATGGGTCCATTTGAGATTGTTGAACTTGTTGGGCATATGGTATATCGGTTGTAGTTACCCGAGATTATTGATATGCTCAGATTAGTCCTGAGCTACTCTCTCAAATTAAGAGATTTTGGTAGTATTTAGAGGTCGAGTTTCACAAGGACTCAATGATTATAAAATAGACTAATTAGGTGTCAAATTAAGTTAAATGAGAAATATTGTAATTAATAGCAGCAAAATAATTAAATAAGAGAAAATTTATGTAAATTCAATTAGAGAAAAGCGCTAGACTTATGGAAATTCTCAGGTAATTCTGAATTGCAAATTAAACATTGTTATTAAACATTGTTCTTAAACTCAAATCACAATTGTAAACCCAACCATCCCTAAACCAAATTCCTTTGCGATAAGGTATCTTGCTCATTTAATGTTATTTTCAAAATATCAATAAGGATATTCATATGTTTATTCTCCAATCGAATTAACTTATTTTCAAGTGACCCAATAGTTTCATGTAAATCTTGAATATTTTTCAGTAAATAATTAACAATTAATTATATATTGGATATAAATGAAAACAGTCCTAACGTTAACATACTACACATTCTACTCCAAGATGGAGGATGGCCAAAGACGCTTCCACCTTTCAATCTCTTCTTTACGATTTAGCTTTCGTATTCCTCCATAGAACCCGTCTTCTTCATTACCTTTCTCTCTATGATCTATCCTATTGATCATTGTTTTTCTCCACCTTGATCCAATTGTGTATTGGTTAAATTCCAACACTATTATATCTGTTTTACCATCATCAACACTAAACCATTTAGTACAACATGTGCATGCATGCATAAATTCTTTGGACACAACATTAACAGAGAAAGGTTAATGTTATAAGATTATGTGGTTATGTTGTGTTATGATGCAAGTGGAACAATACAAACTTTTTCAAAACCTTTTTAAAAAAATGATTTATACGTCTTGCGGTGATTCTCGGGTAAACAAAAGGGATAAAAAGTTAGGAGTGAAAAAGAATCATTATTTTTTTTAATATTCACTCTATTCAACTTACTTTGCGGGAACTTAATAGCCATTGTGAGTTGAGGAAACGAGTATATATTTGAATGTCACATCCTATTTTAAACACCAAACCAAGAATCCATTTCTAAATCATAGAACATGAATACGAGAACTCACCACTATTATGGCAATGACAATAGTTGAGATTGCCATCGCATGATTCCAAGTGGCCAACAACACTATACCACCATCCTACACAACAACATCACACAAGCTTGCATTAGATTCATATTATTTCCAAACAATAAACTATGAATTATGGTTTACCATAAGGAAACTCTTTGTTTCTTCTCCATTGAATCTCGATGTGATCTCCAGGTTTAACCTCTCTTAATGAATCTGATATATGGAGATGATGAGGCGATGCATCAATGGGAGCTGCTCTAATCCTCTCCCATGGCACATCTTTTTCAACCGCAATTGCTCTTCTACCATGTGGTGGGTACCTAAAATCCACAATCGAGTATAGTTTACAACATAATGAAGCATAAGAAATATTGTATTTTCTTTGGCTATGAGATATTTTATACCTAGCTTGAAAAGCATTAGTGTGAGTGTCATAACACAGCTCAGCATCATAACATGACAACATGAATCCTACATGTCCATTCTGCGTGTACACCAAAAAATATTTAATATTTTAATCATACCCGGAAAGTATAAAATGGAGAAACTATGGTTATGAAATTGATGTGTACCTCACGGTTGTAAACTTGAGCTGGAAACCAAAAACGACCAGTTTCAAGGGAGAGATAAAAGCTCATGGTAGAATCAAGTAGCAAAGAAGATGCATATATCCCCCTCTGATTATCATCTTGAAAAATGGTGGAGAGAGATCGAATCAAAGATATGATTTTGGCCATGCCAGGATGTCTTGTTTGCTGATGATGAGAATCAAGATAATATGGGGAAGATATATAGCATTGCCACTCTTTGTGAGCAGCAGGTCCAAGTATATTTCCCCATTTGGTCATTAAGTGTTTCTCCCAAAAATGATTGCTGACACATCTCTCTCTCAATGAGCTACATACTCTAGCCATGCTACATAGTTCAGCGGGGGGAAGAAGATCAAGAATGTAGTCGAGGGGAAGATCGGGAAGGTCAAGGATCGACATCTGGTTAAGAACCGTAGAAGCTATATCTGGTCTGGTCAGGTGTAGGATTTCTATGAAGGGATTCTTGTAGATGTAAAAGGAGAATAAGGTTTTTGTTTTATATATCCATGTAGGAAGGGGTAAAGATTTGACAAACAAAAAGAAAGATAGACAAGTGATTAATAAGTATAGAAGCATTTAGGTAGTATTATTTCTGTTGTGTAACGTTAGCTTTGTTCTTTTGAAATATAAATAAAAAGAAATGATAACTAGATAGCCAATTGAAATTAAGAGGTAACATAACAACCTCAAGGTGACAGTAAATAATGATTTCCCTCTCTTGTTTAGGAATTTGAAATCAAGAGAGAGAAAAGGAGTGATGAACTGGCAAAACTTATTATTTATAGGAATGAAAACCTCCTATAAAACCCAATATTAAGAAAAAAAAATTGGATTAATTGGATGAGTTATATAGAACATAAAAAAAAAAAAAAAAAAAAAAAAAAAAAAAAATTAAGGAATGTATACTAACATTTGTTAAAACATAATCAACTACTGAGGAGGAAGAAGAGGAGGAGGAGGGATAAGAATTGGAATTCCCTAGGCACCTCCACCTTCTTCAGAATACAAATTCTTTCTTCTTCCTCCCAAATCCTCAACTATGAAACAACAAAGTATGCAAACAATTAACTATGTTTTTCTTATAAAAGTTCTGTTTTTAGAATATTTTTTTTAAATCTCTCATGTAAAATAGCAAATATTTTCATTAGGATAAAACGAGAGGTTACTACTTAGTCTACCTTTTTCAATAATATCAAAGTGAAGGGAATTATACTTTAATTTCATATCTACCACAAAATCATTCTTCAATATTTGTCTTTTGTGAATCCATTCACATTTTTCTTTTGACGTTTAAATGAAGGAGCTTTAACCTCCATTCATTTGTTTCTATTGTTGGCAAACATCTTTTACACCACACAAAAAGGGGGAAAACATATCTTTCCTATGATTAGGAGATGGGAGCAAAAGAAAGTCATAAATCTTTTACATAAACTGCATCAGGCTAAATGTATGTAACATCTCATTTTCCTCTGTAGTATTTGTAAGAATTCTTACGCATCAACATTTATTGCTAGTTTGGAAATTTAGTGCATCTATAGTCCGACTAAATACTTATAATGCATGCACAAATTCAAAATATTGAATCCAGATTCTTGATTGTGACATATTAAACTACTTTGATCAAAGGTGTCATGCTGATAATAGTTTCAAAAGGATTTATGGAAAACCATGAGGAAAATAATTACTATTGTTAGCTAATAAACATGCTGGCATGATCATGAAGAATTCTAGTGAACCAAAGCCTATGCTCAACATCCGACCCTGGCCTCCTCGTTGGCTGAGTGCAAGTCTAAAAAATTTATTTTAATGCCACAAGATGTTTTAGTAGTTGACTAGCCTCTTTAAAATACTTTTATAATGGTTACCGTACACATTGATAAAGTCTCATGACCTATTCAGATGTTGCAATTTTATAATTAATAGTAAAGAAAACTACAAATTTTAAAGTATAAAGTATAATATCTTGAAACCCAATAAAAGAAGGCGTCAATCAACACCACTATTTTCTAATTGTGCGGGTTAGTATTAAATTACCATTTTAGCTCAAAGCTGATTGGAAAAACCCTAACTCGTTTTAAAACACGACCAACCTCCTTCTTTCTTAGTTTGGTGTTTGTTGTAAGGGGAGTTTTGGCTTTTGTGATTGATCAAAAGAGAAAAGGAGAGGCTTTAAGTGATTTAGGAGGCAGAAAAAGCTTTTTTAGATGTCAGCAAGCAGAAAAGGAGGATATTAGTAGTTGTTCAAGAGTGAGAATGTTGGTGTGGAGGTTGTTGTGTTATGTGCCTTCTTTTCTTCGTTTAGAATCAATACATATCAAAAGTGAGTGTGGGACCATAGCTTATCTAAGCTAAATAAAGTGTTTTGATTCATTGTTTGACTGTGTAGGTGGATTTGGGGATTGTATATGGGGTTGTTGAGTGTTTTCCTTGTTGTATTGTGCTTGTTTGTGTTAGGGTTCTCGTGGGAATCAGTACTTGGTAGAAAGAAACAACGTTAAGTGTGAGGAGATCGATTCATAAGCTATTATAGAGATAGTGTTGATCGACACCAGGTTCTACTGGGAGCTTATCAGCTTCTTGTTTTTCCTGGTTTGAATTTTGGAGTGGCTTTGATTGTGTGTCATTATGTTTCACTTGCTTGTGTGTATAGCCTAGTAGATGGGAGAACTGTCACTAAGTATTTATGATAATACTTACACATCTCTTTTTTTTGGTGGTGTAGGTAAAGATAAGGTATGATCGTGGAATTAGGGCGAGGAATAGGAGATTATCTAGAATCTATGTTTTGGTGGTTTATGTTGTTTTATTTCGTTACTGGAACTTGGACTTTGAAGCATGTTTAGGAATGCTGGATAATTGGAATTGGTTTTTGGTTTTATTTTTAGTAAATAGGATTTGGTTTGTTGGTTATTGATTTGATGGTTTAATGATAGTTTGTTGTTTGGTTTGATAAAGTAGTATATGATACTTAATTATGATGATTAAAAAAACAAATTGGTAGGGTTGTTTCAATTTGGTATCGGAGCGAATACGGTTCTATGATGGTTTAGAAACTTAATATGGGTTAAAGTGAACTTTATGATGTTGTTGCTTGATTAATAGACCGTTAGTTGGATGTGTGACGTTAAATTGACTATAATAGTTAGTAAATTTGAGTAAGTATTGAGTCTTAGATCATCTTTTCGAGCCTTCATTGAGATTCCACAGTGAGTTTGTTTTTGGCTCTAGTCGTTTGTAATTTTAAAACAAGAAAATAAAACGCAAACCATAAAGAATATGGTCGTTAGAGCTTCGATGACAAAATCAGCCTAAATAAGAAAAGTCTCTTCTCTTGTATCTTGAAAGTTTGGGGAGGAATGTGCAACTTCTTAAACTCTTTTGGGATGTTTGGAGAGTCTTTTAAATGCAGCATCCTTGGAAGAAGTAGAGTCAATGATGTTTTAAACATCCTAGTGTGAATGCTCCTAAAAAAGGGAAGTAGGAGTAAAAGAGGATTCTCCTAATCCTATGGATGATGGTGCATGGTAAGGCATCTTGGAGACTCTTTGAATGATACAAAAATTCTCATGGTCGCCAAACATAAGTCACTAAGGAACCTAATAAGAAAAGTTCCATTTTTGGTAACATATGGTCCTCAGGTAAGGCCAAATGAGTAAGTATTAATCCAACTTGAACCAGGGGTAATTTGGCTCAATTGTTATTATTTATATGGTTAGTTTGCTGGTGAATAATTAATCTGAGACAAAATGGACGACTGGATTCTCAAAACTACGCCTTAGCTCGCCAACGAACATGTTAGGGGAGGCTCTCATGGCCATCGCTCAAAATACCTCGATGGTGGATATATGTTGCTCATTTGTTTCTCCTAAAATTTCCATATTCTTTTGTGGATTTTAAATCCTAGCTTGAATGGATGTGTAGTTTGTGTGAGACCCTGGTTTGCGGAGAGGTTTAAATGAATTGATGTGGCCACATATGTCACCAAAATGCACTTATCTTTTGGTCAAAGATCATGATAGAACTCCACAGTGAAGCGTGCTTATGCTACAGTAGTCAAAAGATGGGTGACATTCCGGGAAGTGGTTGTCGAAACTGTGTAACTGAGGCCAAAACAAATGGAAAGATCATGAGGTCCATCAATAGAGGTGGGTTCATGGACTAGAGTGAACATACGGCCCACTGGAGAGGTGATGGTCGGGGCGTTACAAATGGTATCAGATGGCTTGGCTAGTTAATTTCGGTTAATCCGGTTTAGATGGTTTAATTTGATTTGGTCCGGTTTTGTTGGTTTAGTTTGGTTTAATCCGGTTTAATTATGTATTAAAACAAAAAGCTGGGTCATTTTAGTTGGTGGCATGGAGACTGAAGCCATATTCATCAACACATATGTAATGGTAAACTTAATTGATCCTTGAGCTTTGATTGGATTAGATTTTGATTTTCCATATTATTTTTCTAAGTTGCAGGTTCATGTATGATTGATATGTGGTTGGTTCATGTTGAGAACAATATATGTTTATTCTAAATCACAAAGTTGCAGTATTAGTCTTTTTGTGTATCAAGATTACATGTCTTATCATTAATTCAGATAAATCTCTGTTCCATAAGTTCCTAGACGGAATACAAGATTGTAAAAAAAAAATTTCGTATTAAGAAGATAATTACCAACATTAGTTGAAAATGTTATTCACTTCCACTAATGCTCTCACAAAATCCTTCTGGATCTACTATCTTCGTCTCAACCTCTTGTTGCACTACATTATTTCTTCTTCGCTATTCTTCTTTCATGAAGTCGACTTAAAAAATGAACCGAAAAGTAGATCAACACTCAAAACTAAGAATGTACACAAATCCCGCGGGTCGGCCCGTTAACCAGCCGGGTCTTGTGGGGATGGTCTGGACATGTATATTTTGTATGTCGTCCTAAACGAGCTCATCCGCAGCGAGCCAAAAAAAATCCTATGGCGGAGTAGGTTAGATAGACGCGGGCTGGCCCATCTGACACCACAAGCTGTAGATTAGTACTTTTAGCATATATTCTCTTGGAAACAAATTTCTTTATTGTATCCACGTTTTCTACATATGGGAGAAACAATAGGATATCACAATTTTGAGGTAAAAGTATAGTCTTTATGAGTTATATTGTTTTAAGATTTTCTTCTAACATATATAATAATACTAGTCGGTTGTCCGCGCTACGCGCGGTAGTTTTATTATGTTGTTGCTGAGTAATTGGTTCGTATTTTATTTCTTATTTTCTTTTTTTCTATAGCATATTTTATTTTTAAAAAATATTAGATTGTGTTTGTATAGAAAACCTGTTGAGTTTTAGCTTCATTAGTAGTTGAGAAATTAAACGTGTATAATATAGATTGATATATGAGTGTAAACGGAAGTGCAATGGAGAATCATAGAGAAACATGTGTTATTAGGATTCCTACCAAATATAGATCTAGATGTTAATATTGTGGTCCTTTTTAATATATTAGGCTGAAAGTTAAAAATGATTTGTGGGTTTCAAACGGATTATTGTATTTTTTATTGGTTACATTATCCTTGTATATTGTCATAATTTAATTTTTTGTTTTTTCGTTTTTTTTTTTGATTTGACGTAATTTATATCTCGTTATGATCATTTTTATACTATAATATATTTGTTTCTGATTTTCGGTTTTATATATTTTTCGTATATTCATATGGAACAAATTTAAAATTTAACATATTAGTATAATTTACTTTATATTTAGTTCATTTCATTTAATTATGTTTTTTGCTTTAATTTTCAATTTTTATGAAATATTGTTAATTTTTTGTTTTGTTTATTAGTTTACCATATTTGTTGTATTGGAAAAAATTAGTTAAATTCATATTGCAAACTATTAAAGAAATATTATTTTTAGTGTGACCTTTTTTTATGTGTATTAAAAATGAGAATTCATGTTTTGTACTAACCTATCTCATTTATGTTTATTAGATAGATTTATATTCTTAAATTTTCTTACATTTTGTTCTATTTCCGTTAAATCTCATTTTAATTTAGGTTTAGATTGTGTTAATATAATTAAGTTTTGTGTCATATTATTTTAAATTTATATATATCTTCATTATAAAACAGTCTATTATTTTTTATTTTTAATCAATAATATTTTTATTTTGATAATATATAACATAAAAAAAGACCTTTCATATTTCTTTTTGAAAAAATGATTTACATATGTCAAAATCAAATTAAATGATAAAATGATATAATTAATTTTTAAAACTAAATAATAAAATAAAGTAGATGATGATTAGGATGATGATGTGGCTTAAGGAGAAGAGAGAAAAAGTTAACTTTATATATATAGATTATAAAATGTCATACATAATTAATGGAAATAGAAATATAAAATTTTAAATTTTTGGATATTCATAATTAAATTTTGAGATCCTTACTACTTTATATTTTTCTATCAATGAATTGTTTATTCCAATATTGAGATTGCTTTCAATCAATAATTTAATTTTTTTCTCTTCATTATATAATTAACATAATTTTGTGATACATATCATCTTTATATAATATCAAAGTTAGACACCAATATTAACACAAGGACCCAATTGTCTTTGATATTTTCCTCTATCAATCGTCTTCATCATCGTTTGCATCATTATCATTGTAAATTTTTAACTGATGGTAATCTCTCCCTTATCTCTCCTTTATAAATTATACTGTTTTGTTGAGAACGTATGTGTTTATTATTTACAATCTTGAAAATGATAATATATTCTTCTTAAATTGTATATATATGTATATATATGTGTGTGTGTGTGTGTGTGTGTGTGTGTGTGTGTGTGTGTGTGTGTGTGAAGTATTTTGTTTGCATAATTTCTTAACCTAATAAAGAAAAACAAGTTCTGAATTGTAGATGGAAGATCCTCTTCTAGAACGCGAAAACATATTTAAACGGGGAATCATATTCATCGCCAAGTGAGGTTTTTTTATTCACACATACATAATAAATTCATCATCAATTTACTTATATTATAGTGATCATAATTTTTAGGTATGTCAAATTTGTTTGGAAAGAAGTCTACTCAAGAATCATACATATCATACTCGTCACCGCATATGCACTGCTAATTTTTCTGATTTACTCTAGATATGGCTTCTCTATGAATATGTTAGGTGGTACAATTTCCTTCATCATCCTAGGCCTAACTTCAACTTTAGTTGAAGTATTATTCATATTGTCTAGGCAACCCATGATATATGTTAACGCAGCTGGACATTTTACGTTTTTGGTCGGATTTCTTATCCTTACCCCTTTCGTGTTCCAATCCAATAGTCATGTGATTTGGGTGTATACTCTTGTTGGGATATTATTTGGATGTTGGTGTATTTTCTTTCTACTCCTTATTTTCCTTATACGCACTTTTCTTGAAGATGATTTCTTATACCAGCCAATAATGATGTAATTTAGTATCAACATTTTATATATAATGTATGTTTAATATGTTTGTAAGGTTAATATAATATTAGCTATATCAATAATTTGAAGAAAATATACTATACAAACAAGGTGATATCTTATTAAGAAAAACTACAAGTATATGAATTTAAATCTTGTTCTTTAGTATGTTGTGAACGGCATAATCAAGCGATCGACTAATTTTAACTTTTTTAAAATTAAATATGTAGTGAAAAAAGCAGTTACTCGTGCAAGAACGTAACACCATCTAACTATGTTAATTTAATTTCTGAAAATAAGTTCCTCCGACATTACCATCATAGCTTCATAACTTGTAATTTGCAACCTCTCCCAAGCCGAGCCTATATAAAAAATGTAAGTCTATTGAAAATGGTATATATATTAAGCTCTCCTCACTCTGTTTTTTTATCTCTTTAGAACAATACATGATTTTTTAACTTTAATAATGAAAGAACTCATCCCATTTTTTTTTTTAAACATGCAAACCAGATTAACCCATTTAGAGCAAACCAGACAATCTCACTAACACAACCAATCAACGTAACCTGCGGAAAAATTAAATAAAAATCCAACCAAACAAATCCATTAAACCAACAAGGTCAACTATCATTATTCCAGAAACATAATCATCCTAACATGCTTCTAAATTCCAATCTAATATCCTAACAACCCTACAATAATCTAAACACCAATGAGCGCCTAGATCATCCTCCTCTCCTAGCCATGATTCCACGGGTCACACTTTGCTTTTACCTGCATCAAAAAAAGAGATGCATAAGTATTTCATAAATACTTAGTGAGGCAATCATACCACCACTGGCTATACACACAAGCACATCCAACCATTATCCAAGGAAAAGAACCAAACAACTAATAAAAGATAGACCAAAATCGCTTCTAACTATCGGTGTTGATCGACACCCACCACTGGTGTTGATCGACACTCGCTGTCGACCCTCGCAGTCGACACCGGTCTCGACACTCCAATAGTAAGACGCAGTTATCCTCGCGAGACAAAACGTTGGTGTCGAGCGACACCCACCCTTGGTGTCGATCGACACCGACTCTCTGCAGACGCTCCAACTGCGTTTCTCACTAGGTCTCTTCTCCAAATCACCACCATGATATGAGCGAGTCTCCAAGGGATTCCACAGGCATCAATCATCAAATAAACAGCCAAACAAGCGAAGGAAATCAATCAAACAATCATCAAAACCCTAAACAATGATCAAACATGCTTAGATAAGCCTGGTCATGCACTCACCTCTTTAAACAAGAAGAACAGCAACGAAAACAGGGAAGAACAAGGAAGGATCTGCCTCCTCTAACACCACACAACACGGATCTAACCTCTACTAGCCTTAAACCACCAAGATCACCCACCAAACACCACCAAAAGACTCACAAAAACCCTCAGAAGCTCTAGAACCTTTTCCTTTATCTCTGGAAGTGTTAAAAAGCGGCTGGGAAGAGACAGCACACGACCTTCCCTCTTTTAAACACGACCTAGGGTTAACCAACCCAATAACCACACGATTTTTGCAATTAAAAACGAACCGATCAAATCAAAACATGCTGGTGTCGAGCGACACCCATCAGTGGTGTGGATCGACACCCCCCAAAACAGGACACGGGCGCTACAAATAAATTCAGAAAAACAAAAATTAAAAATATTACTCCCTCCGTTCTTTAATATACAATCTTTTGGCCTTATTTTTTTCAAAGTAGACGATTTTCTAAAATCTAGGCAAAATTAATTAGTTTTTATTGGTTTTGACAATTTATAGATTATTTTTCATTGGTCGAATTGTGTTTATGTAGATATTAAATGATGGTTTTATTTTAAAATAAGCAAAAATTAAATGATTTATTAATGCATTTGATAAAAATATCATCTATTATAGAACAAAGGGAAAATAAGTGTTTTTTATAAATAAAAATATATATATATATATATATATATATTTAAAATATCAAGTCTCTTTAATATATTCAGTATTTTAGATCTATCTAAAATTTTCATTCCATTACCTAAGTATTTTTATTGGTTACATAGGTCGACTATTATCAGTTTTTTTTGTAATAAGAACAAAATAGTGATACAGTTCATGTAACTTTTCACCAGTTTTCATCCAATAAATAATTATTATCTCATGTTCTTTCACCTTAATTAGAATTTTTTTTTTAAAACGTTCTTGGAAGAGTTGAAAGATAAAGTGAGCAAAATAATGGTAGATGTTTGAAGAAAGTTTTTGAGAAATACCATTTTTGGTTTTTAAATACTATTTGGAATTTATGTAGTTTAAATTGGTTTCCGTTTATAATTATTATTGGTATTTAATTTAAATTTTGTTTCTGGCATGTTACTAGAATATTTGTTATAATATTCATTTATTTAAATTTACAATCATATTATATGTATATATATTTATGAAGATGTAGTCATTAGAATGAACATGGACTTGTTTATTTTAGAGACTTCCGAACATAAGACTTTAGATTCCAATAAAGGAACAAACGCGCCAGAGATTTCAACATGGCCAAGAAACATACATAAGTAGAGATTGAAACCCACAAACCCAAACACCAAACATATACACACTTCAAAGAGAAATGATCATCAGTTACATGTTCCGATTGAAAGCAAGTTCAACATTACAAGTTAAATACCAACTTCAATCTTGGACAACTACAAGAACAACAACAACAACAAAAAGCCTAAAATACAGAGATCGATACGACAACTCCTTGATCATTTTCGAAGTTTCTACTCTAGGATATAGCGTGATAAGCGCGAAATTGATGAAGACTTAAGATGACAAGCATGTTTCATGATATAACTCACGAAATCTCTTTCTTCTGGTCTTCCCGTGTACCCAGCAAACTCGAAAATCTCAAGACTATCCAACAAACATTTAGGAACAGAGGTCTCATCATTATATTTCCAGCTAACATGTTCATGGTCATCATCAAAGTCTGGATCATCCTGAGATTATTGAAAAAAGAAGAGAATCAGTAAGACAATACTATACAATGCTTTTAGATTGTAAAAGTGTTAACTTATTACATCGACGAGAAGCTTGAGAACTCGTAGTTTAGGAGAATCTTCGAGCATCCGTACAAGTAACTTGGACCAATTATCGCAGTATATATGTAGCTTCAGATGTTGAAGCTGATTGAAGACAATCCCATTATGATACATACTCTGCAAACAAAATCCAAATTAAGTCTCAAGAAAGAATTTAGAATTTTAAGTGATATTGAAAAGAAGTACCTTGATGTCGACTAGTACGGATAGAGAAAGGCGTTTGACAGATGTGATTGATTCGAGAAGCTTTTCGAGATTTTGCTCAACATAGAGTTTTGCTTCTTCAAGATTTGGCATATGCATAACCAAATAGGAGAAGTACTCTCCATAAGGGCTCCGAACTTTGAGATATTTCAAAGAAGGAGTAACTATAACATACCCATAACATGAATAAATCGGCAAAGTTAGTCTCAGCAAAGACGGAACCATAACAACTAAGGTTTTCACATTGTCATCTCCAATTCGGTCGATAATCAACTCTTCAAGAACAGGACAATACGAAAGAAGCAGCCGAAGAGAATCTTCATTCGAGTATGCCACACGATTAAGCTCCAGTGTTTTCAAAGAAGGAAGACTAGCCGTTCGGGGAACATCCACAATAATGGTTTCACCAGTAAGATTTAAAGTCACGAGGGATTTGCAAGTGTACAAGCTACTTGGTAATAACGCAACAGGTTTGCCAACGCAAGACAAATCATAAGAGTCGATAATCAGCTCGCGAACGCAGCGAGAAATCGTAGTATCAACCCAATGGTTAATATCCTCAGGTTGAAAGGATTTAGTAAAACATTGGAGATGAAAGCTTTCTATAACGTGAGGTTTAAGTAAAGGCAGGTTCTTGGTGATAAAATCACGAATAGGAAGATCTGCTTCGTAATGATTCATTCCAAACTTGAGTTTAGGAACCCACATCCAAAGAAACTCCCATCGTTTAGACAAAACACTAGTTGATACAACTTCTTTTGTCGGAAGAGAGGAAAGTATCTTGACTAGTAGTTCATTAGGTAAGCCACTGATTCTATCCATATCTAGAACCCCAAAACAAAAGACTTCAATTTTCAGATCCTCTACATTCACAACACACACACACACAAAAACACAGGTAAACACAAATAGGACTGAAAAGGATTTGTCTGAAAGCAGCAGAATAAAACAGAGGAACGAGACAAAACCTAAACAGTAGAGAAAAGCTAGGAAAAGAAACCCTAGAATAAACCTGTGAAGCTTCTTTCAATGGAGGCTGGATTCTCGCTCAGGAGAGTGGAGAGAAATCAGAAGCGTAGTCACTGAGCTCTACTCTACAATCGATGTGAATGTAAACTTCGATGTGGGTATGCATTCTTGTATGGGCCTTCCACATAGGCCTTTTAATAGCTTTCTAAAGCCCAACAACTTTTGTATTTTCTAGTATTGATTTATTTTTGGGGAAATTTCAAAAATACTCTTTTTCATATACCTCTTTTTAAAAATACCCCATTTTCAAACTTTATCAAAAAACCCACTAAAAATGTTGAAATTTATCCAAATATGTGTGTAAGCTTATAAATATATACACAAATTACCTTTATATGTGTATAAAACTTTATACACCTTTCATAAATAGCGTAAAAATAAATTATAAAAACCTTATAAAAACCTTATAAAAACCGTATAAACCCTTTTAAAAATCTTTTAAAAACCTTATAAAACTTATCAAAACTATTTAAAACTATTTAAAAAGTTTTAAAATATTTGTATCGAATCTCCCAGTAGTAGTTATTATATAGAAGTACCTTATAAACTGTATAAAACTTTATAAGTTTTTATATTTAAAAAGGGGTATTTTTGAAAATGGATAGATAAAGGGGGTATTTTTAAAAAGGGTACACCAAAAGGGGTATTTCTCAAAAATTCTCTTTATTTTTTGAGTTATTATAAATCGATTTGGTCTTTTCTTTTCCTTTTTTTTTTTGTAATATAGTCTCATAGTCTGATATATGAACTGATAATTATAACTTAAACTTCCAAAAAAATAAAATTAGTTAGTATATGACATTTGAAAATGCATGATTTAAACAACATTATTCTCAATCGACAATACAATGTTACTTTACCAATAACGGATTAGTTAACAACGGAGTTAACGGATATTAGATGCTCTTTATTATCAAACTAGCAGTTGATCCACGCTGCGCGCGGGAGGTTTATATATATTTTTTTAATTTTTTATTCATATTGTGATATTTTATTTATTTTAATTGATTTTCAAAACATATTATAGTTATTTTCTCTTGAATTATTATCTTTCAATATTTAAATTTAGATTAAAATCATTTTCTTTTTCATCATGTTATAAACTAATATTTCACTTTCAATTTTAGTTTTACCCTTTAAGATTTTATATGTACAATTACATAAATGTTGTTTTTGTTCTACCATAAACTGAAAATTTACTTACATTCTTAAAGTCAGTAACACATTTAAAATTATAAACTATGATCAATTTAAAATTAAAGTTGAATTATATTGTTACCACTAACTAATAATAAATGAAAGTATTTCTTATTTAACATTTCATTTATTTACATAATTTATTTTAATTTATATAAATTTTCTATTAATTAAATAAGTAGCATAAATATGCACTAAATGAATGTTTTAAATTTATTTTAATGTAGAAAAAATGTGGTTTATGTGGATGCTTAGGTGGCATCATGAGAAGAGAGAAAAAACTAACTTTATATATATAGATTTTATGACATGCATATTCTCTATAAGAACATGAACCATAACTAACTTAAAATTTTTGGTTGTATATGAGATTTTTCAAGTGGCATTTGGCAGTTGTCAATGTAGATTCGGCCAAAACACAAACGGTTTAGGTTTCGAACTGAATTTTGGGTTGGTCCAGATTACTATATGCATGGTATCATTTTTTATATACGTAAAAATATTTGGCAATTAATTTGGGTTGTGTGATATTTTTTCCAAACCATGTTTCAACTTCTTCAATCTTTTTATAATCTTTTATGTTAATTTTATGTTAAGAAACTCATTACAAACTCCATTGGAGATGTTCTATGGTCCAAATCCAATGCAATTATAGAATTGATAAAAATGAAAATTGTCTTTCTACTTTATCCAATGCAAATCCAAATCCAATGCAATGCAATTATAGAATTGATATATCTTAGTAGCCCTGCGGATAAAACCCGACTCAAAACTACCGACCCGACCTGATCCAATTTTTTCGGGTTTCGGTTTGATCCAATTTGAGATTCGGTTTTATTCAAAGAGGTTAAGATTTGTGTTCGAGTATCCGACCCGATGACCGTTTAAAAAAAAAAGAACTACAGTAAAACCTTTATAAATTAGTAAACACTATAAATTAATAAATTTTGTTGGTCCCAAGTCGGGCCAATGTCAAAATTGACCAAATTCGATAAGATAATAAGATAATAATTATTTTGACACCCCCATGTAAAATATAGTCCCAATAATATGATAAATTTATAATCACTCTATAAATACATATAAGTAGATATATTCATATATGTTTTTAGGGTTTTATAAAAATGAATTTTCTCTTAGAGTTCACCTCAATAAATAATTTTATGTTAGTATTTTTTTTAAACAGTAATCTTGTAATATATATATATATATATCATCACAAGTTATAAAAATAACAAAATATTCTTTATGTTTTCAATTTTTAAATATGCATCATGTTGTTGAAAAAAAACAAATATGCATCATATTCGTTTTTCATATATAGGATGTTAAAATATAACAATTGAGGTTATTAATAGAGAAATACATTTGAATTTATGTATATCATTTGTGTAAGTGAATTTATCTATAATATTTGTATTTGTAGTCAAATTTCTCTGTTTCCTAAATATAATATTCACTTTCAAACTACTGTATAATTTATAAAATTTAAAAGATTAGTCTTATTTTTGTAAAATTGTGTCAATTCTTATTTTTCTAAAAATTGGAAAACTAAAAATACCACTATAAATTAATAATTATTAATTTACACTATAAAATAAGAATTATAGATTTATAGATAAATTAATATCACTATAAATTAATAAAATATCTTGGTCCCAACATTATTAATTTATAGAAGTTTTACTGTATACCCAAAATAGACCGAGTTTTAACCTGTTTTAAGCGTGATTTTAACCAGTTTTTGTATTTAACCTGTTTTGGATTTTTGTTCGATTAATTTTGGTATAGCTTTTGAAACCCTCAAAATACCCGAAAACCCCAACTCGAACCTACCCGATAACCCGAACTCGCGCGGCTATATCTTACGAACCACAACCTGCGTTCCTCTACCCTCATTGGAGAATGACCATTTTCAAGTCAACTAGATAAGTTTGCTACTCCTTTCTTTTGCTTTGCAGCATCTTTAAGACTTTATATTTATAGAAATATGTAGTTAATCAAATCCAAACCAAAATTTTCTTTCATAAATCGTTTGATTACTGAAACCCAAAACAATTTTTCGTTGTTCTGCACCCAAACACCAAACATATACATACTTCAAGGTTGATTAAGGAATCTATGTTATCATCAAAGAGAGATGAATATCAAGTACATGTTTCGAGTGAAAGCAAGTTCCACAATACAGTTAAGTATCAAGTTCATTCTTAGACAACAACAAAAAGAGCCTAAAACGCAGAGATCGATACGACAACTCCTTGATCATTTTCGAAGTTTCTACTCTCGGACATAACGGGATAAGCGCGAAACTGATGAAGACTTAAGATGGCAAGCATGTTTGAAGATATAACTCACGAAATCTCTTTCTTCTGGTCTTCCCGTGTACCCAGCAAACTCGAAAATTTCAAGACTATCCAACAAACATTTAGGAACAGAGGTCTCATCGTTGTATTTCCAGCTAACATGTTCATAGTCCTCATCAAAGAATGGATCAACCTGAGATTAAAAAAGAAGAGAATTAGTAAGACAATACTATAGAAGGCTTTTAGATTGTAACCAAAGAAACTTACATCGACAAGAAGTTTGATGACTCGTAGTTTAGGAGAATCTTCGAGCATCCGTAAAAGTAACTTCGACCAATTATCTCGGCATATATGTAGCTTCAAATGTTCAAGCTGATTGAAGACAATCCCATAATGATACAGATTCTGCAAACAAAAACAAATTGAATCTCAAGAAAAGAAAAAAACAATTGAGCATTTTAAGGGATAGTAGAAAGAAGTACCTCGTCTTCAATGTTGAGTAGTACGGATAACGAAAGGCGTTTGACAGATGTGACTGCTTCAAAAAGCTTCTCAACGTGTTCCTCAACACTGAGTTTTGCTTCCTCCAGATTTGGCATATGCATAATCAAATAGAAGAAGTCTTCTGCATAAAGGCCAGGAACATCGATGTGGGTATTCTTGTATGGGCCTTCAACATGGCCTTTTAATAGGTTTCTTGAGCCCGACAACTTTTGTATGTTTTAGTATTCATTTTTTCTTTTTTCTTTTTTCTTTTGAGTTACTAGGTAATGTCTGCGCGGGTTGTTGTATATTTATTTAATTATTTTAATTTATTTATTACTTATAAAAAATAGATTAAATAAATTTTAATGTTTATGACATTTTTACATTTTATTTTTTAAAATCATACAATAGAAGCATACATATCTTTTGAATTTATTCGTTGATTAAATGTTCAATTTTGATAGTAATTTTCTTTAGTGCTTTTAAGTATTTTTTTATAAAACAATAATATTTTTAATGATAAAAATAGGAATGATATTGGGAGAATTTAAAAAATACCCTTTTAAAAATACCACTTTTTAAATTTACCCCCTTTTCAAACTTTATCAAAACAACCACTAAAAATGTTACAATTTATGAGAATTTTTGAGAAATACCCCTTTTTGGTGTACCCCTTTTGGTGTACCCCTTTTAAAAAATACCCCTCTTTTCTATCCATTTTCAAAAATACCCCTTTTCAAATATGAAATATTATAAACTTTTATATGGTTGATAAGGTACATCAAGATCATCATTACTACTGGAAGACTAAATCCAAATATTTATAAGGTTTTAAAAGGTTTCAAACGGCATTTATAAGGTTTTTATAAGGTTTTTAAAAGGTTTACATAGTTGTTATAAGGTTTTTAAATGATTTTTAAAAGGTTTTTAAAAGGTATTTATACAGCATTTATGAAATATATATATATATATATATAAATTTACACACATTTAAAGATAATTCGTGTCTATAAATATAAGTTTAAACATATGTTTTTGATAAATTTCAAATTTTATAGTGATTTTTTGATAAAATTAGAAAGAGGGGTATTTTTAAAAAGTAGTAATGGAAAAGGGGTTTTTTTGAAATTCCCCCTAAAGTTATCCATATATGTGTGTAAACTTATAAATATACACACAAATTACCTTTATTTGTGTATAAAATTTTATTATTTCAATGTCTTACAAATTGGTTTGAATATAACCAAAAGTGATTTTGTTAAAATAATTACATACTTTAAAAATAAAATAAATATACATGAATTCGTGAGAAAGAAAAAAACATATAAAGTAAAACAATGAAGATGGTTTATTTAGCTTGATTTTCTTATGGGGCGATGGTCAGAAATCAATATTTTTGAATCCCATTGATAAAGTAATTTCCTTATAGCCATAAAATATTATTATACATATGTATTATATATTTAATAGTATAAAAACAATGAATGAAGAAGTACATAAAATAAAGAAGAAATATAATTGAAAACAAAATTTTTAACCAAATATATAATCAAGCTCTTACAATGATATCTTAATTGAGCTTTCAACCCATGCAAGAACATTAAAAATTAAACAAAGAAAATATTGAGAATATCAGATATGGTGGAGGAGGATGTAAAAATGAGTATTTATAGGATAAAATATGATGTAAGTTATAATTCTAAAATAATTAAATTAGAGAAGTTATACTTATATTTTATAGTGTGTTAATTGAAATTGAATGGAGGAAACAAATAGTCAATTGAAAGGTTATATAATTTAAGTTACAATTTAATAGTAAAGCGTGGATTTCAAGTATGAATTAAAGTATATGACTAAATGTGTTAGGTATTTGGTTTAATTAAAAATAAATATTATAATTAAAAAATAAATGCTAAATAGACCAATAAGGAGAAACCTTAAAAAATTCCCAAAGAATAATTTTATTTTTTAATTTGATTTTATATTCCTCTTAATTTAAGCTATATCTCTAGGTTTAATTATATTTTTCATCATTGTAGTATATATAATAGATAGAAAATTGAATATCAAATTTTTTTTTATATAGGAAATCAAGTATAAAATTCAAAGTTAACAA